TTTTATTAGCAAGAACTTTATTTTCGCTTAATTTAACAGGTGCATGCGAAATATCAGTTCTCTCATATGATAGTATTCCTTAATGTATAAAGCAATAACCACAATACATGAATTTGTCTTGCTTATCAAGAGTCAATGACTATGATATCTCACGAAAATAAGGTGTCACAAAAATTAAGTGATCCACAGTATATGTACTGTAAATCACTTTTTATTCGCGAGAACTTTATTTTCGTGTAATTACGCGAGACAGTGTGCTCGCGAAAATTTAATTCTCGCGTTTAATATTATTCCTTACGAATATATAGAACAATAACCACAACTCGCGAAAATTTTGTCTCGCTAACCAAGAGTCAATGACTATCTCGCGAAAATAAGGTGTCGCGAAAATTTAGTGATCTACAGTATATTAGGAGGAATTATATCTAGACACAATGAAGCTTCTTAATTTCTTGATTGTATAGACTTTTGTTAAGTCTTTTTTTTCTAAACTTATGTATTTATTTTACGTTGTATGAAATATAATTTCAGACATGCTCATCAGATAGATGCTATTCTGTTGACCTATCCTGATCACATACACCTTGGTGCTCTCCCTTACCTGGTTGGAAATGGAATTTTGAACTGTCCCATTTATGCTACCATTCCTGTGTATAAAATGGGACAGATGTTTATGTATGATTTATATCAGGTCTGTTTAAGACATTTTTTCTTAAGTAGTATATTAATATAAACATTTGTGATAATATATTATCTGTGAAATTTGGAAATCATGATTCTATTGTTTATAAAAGCTCAGCATCAGAAGATCTTTTCCCAGAGTTATTTTTGACTTGTGAATATGAATGGCCTCTTGTCTAATAAAAATTGGATTTTTTGTCCCAAACAATGAACAGCAAATTTCAAACTGCAGTTAAATTCAATATACTTCTATGAGTTTGTTTTTTTTTTTTTAAATCATCCACATTCACATGTATTGCAATTCTAGTAATGTTAATTTTATCTCTCTAAGTCTCGGCACAACACTGAAGATTTTGACATATTCACTCTGGATGATGTGGATGTTGCTTTTGACAAAATAGTGCAGCTTAAATACTCACAGACTGTCAATTTGAAAGGTAAAATTATATATATTTACTTAAATAAATGTTTTAAAATTTGCAATAATTTTGCTTAATAAAATTTTATTTATTTGGAATTATTCATCCATTTAAACATATGTACATGCATATTGATGTATTTAACACAAATTTGATTATTAGATTAATAAGAATGTAAATATAAAAAAACTAAATAATTGTGATCTGGCTGGGGAAATGTGAGTTTAAAATCCTCTGAATGCTAATTTGAAAGGAAAGGGACATGGTCTACAGATAACACCTTTACCTGCTGGTCACATGTTGGGGGGACGATCTGGAAAATCATCAAAGATGGAGAGGAAGAAATCGTGTACGCTGTGGATTACAATCACAAGAAAGAAAGGTAAACCCAAGGAAGATTTATCGTTCACTTAGACTAAAATTCTAAAATTAGGTAAATCTTTGATATTTTAATGGGTTTAGGTGACTTGGGCACTCATCATCATTTCTCAGAAGAAAGAAATGAATATTAGGGACAATATGCTGTATTATCATCTAAAATTCATTCTGATGAATATTTTAAATGTATACTGTTCCTTTAGACATTTGAATGGCTGTGTTCTGGAGAATATTTCAAGACCACATCTGATGATAACGGATGCATTTAATGCCACATATGTGCAGTCTAGACGAAGAGCAAGAGACGAGCAGTTATTAAGTAAGAATCATATACATGTAGAATAGTTCTGAAGTTTGTTTCAGAATATTTAAAGTTTACGCACATTCAGAGATTCAGTGACTATTAAAATAATCTGTGTAATATTCTATATGAACAGGTTATATAATTATGACTATTTTGAAAAAAAAGGTTAAAGTATTCATACAATTACAACTTAGAACTAAGAATTGAAATATATTGTTATGAGGTTCAATATTTAACAGCAACAATCCTACAGACTATGAGAAATGATGGCAATGTGCTGGTTGCTGTGGATACTGCTGGCCGAATGCTAGAACTGGCTCAGCTCTTGGTAAGTTAAAGAGAAAAAAAGGAGGCTGTTTTCTTCATTAGATCTAAATAAATAGTTGAAACTTATAAGAATTCTTCATACCGGTAATAGTGTTGCAAGACTAGATTCAATTTAAAAAAAAATATCATGAAGCCTAGGGTAGAGTTTGGCCTTAAGGGGGGGGGGGGTCAGGATTATATAGGGGGAAAATCTTTTTAAAAAAATGTTGTAAAGAACAACAAATCTATGATTTGTCATATTGATTTGGAAGCATCCTCAGGTTGTGTAGATTCAAGTTTGTTCGAATCATGACCTCAAGAGGTAGGATCGGGCTGCGATGGAAGATCTAAGTTTTGTACAAAGGAATATATAATATATAATGAATAGATTCTAGAAAATTCAAGATGTATACTCAATTCTAAATGATACAGTATTTTATATTGCTTTATTTAAAATATATGCATGTCACTAATACTGTAGGATCAGATGTGGAGGAATTCTGAATCTGGACTCTCACCCTATTCCCTTGCCCTGCTCAACAATGTCAGTTTTAATGTGGTGGAGTTTGCCAAATCTCAAGTAAGTTTTAATGGTCTAAGATGAAACCTAGATATAAACATTAACCTAATACCCTAATACTTCTCCCTAATATATAACTTCTGCTGAGGCCTGAGAAAAATATATTGCAGCTGGTTACCCAACTGATCCCATTTTCAATAATTTTTTTTCTTGTGAAATCTGGAAATGTCATGTCTGTATATTTTTCTTCAAATATAACCATTGATACCATATATACTCTCCTATAAGTTTGATTTTTATTAATTAATTTTGGTCTGAAACTGTCTGTCCCACTTATGGGCTAGTCCTAGAAAATTCAATATTTCTCTGGAGGAGGAAATAGAGAAAATTTATAAGAGAACTATAACTTGACAATGAATAATCATTTATAATGCATACCGTAGAACTTAATATAATGCAGAAAGGGAAAGTCTATTTTCAACATGCATTAAGTAACAAGTGCTTACAAATTTTGATGAACTTATAATTGTAGAAATAATTATTTATATCAGATCAAATATAGTCATACTTCCTGAAAATACCTTCAAACACAGGTAAATACAATAGGATAAAAATCTGAAGTTGGCAACAGATTCTAGTAAAAATCCATACTGATCGACTTATAGAAGGTCACTGGCAAATTGCTACAAAATGCATGTATAATAATTAAAAGTACAACTGACATAAAGAGACTGACTTACAAGAAGATATGTAAGATGGATCATAAAGACACTGAAATAACCATTTGTAGAACTACAGCAAAACATGCTTATAATGAACACACTTACAGTGAATTGACCCTTATAACGAAGTGATTTTCATTCCCCATGTCTTTGAAGTTTAAAATAGTGTGATCTTATCAGATATAAAATGAAATACGTTTATAACGAAGCATAATCATTTGTTCCTGTTGCTTCGTGATAAGTATGGTTTACTGTATTAGCAAAAGATATCACTAGGAAAATTAGATTCAAAGTGTTGTTTGATAAATGTATTTCAAGTCATGTCTCAAAAAACCCCCAAAAACAAGCAATATAAACAAAATTCTGTCTATATTCCCTAATTTTTCTGAGCTTGTACTGGTACACAGATATTTTTTTCTAATGCTTTGTGTGTTTCTTCATAGTCACTGGAAAGCTAGCATGGGAGACTTTTACTTTTAGATTCTATTCTGTAAATTTGACCTTTAGGTGGAATGGATGAGTGACAAAATCATGAGGTCATTTGAAGAGGCCAGAAACAACCCTTTCCACTTCAAACATGTGAAGCTGTGTCATAACCTAGCTGAATTGGCCCGAATACCAGAGCCAAAGGTCTGTATATATGTAAATATATATCAATCCATTTCCCAAGCTGAGCTGGCCCAATTACCAGAGCCTTGGAGCCAGTACATATATGAATAAAAATAACCTTTTCAAGTTTAAATATGTAAAGCTTTGTGATAACCTAGCTGAGCTAGCCCTAATACCAGAGCCAAATGTTAATACATGTATATATATAAAACAACATGCATATCTAATATCACCCTTCCTTCAAATTTAAAGTAACATGAGGTGTCATATATTTTTGAATTCAGATCATCTTATTTGAAGGAATATCACAGTTACCAATAATTAAGTGCTAATAGAAAGGTGTTTTAACAAAGTAGTATTTGATTGAATCAAATATAAATTTTATTTAAAAAGATTGAAAATAGACCCTCAAAATCTGGGATAGAATTACTTATGTGTATTTAAAAGTATGGGTGTGTCATAAAATCTTCAGAATGTTTCTCCCAATAAGAAGGACATTAAGCTAGACACTAATTCTCTTATTTTGTTTAAAACACTGATCAATGAGTGTACTTTAAAGTACTACATCATTATGATCATAGCAATTGAGGGTGATGATATTATTACCTCTGAAATCACTTTTTTGTGGCTAAACATGCATTGAAATGATGCAATAAAAATACTTATAATGCTTCTAGTTGTTTGCAATAAGTGTAGCATTTAAAGAATAAGCTACTTTAAATTGTTTACAAAAGCAAATGCAGATTTGTAAATGGTGATTATTTATTCATTAGCAAGAATTCCACATTCAGAATATTTAGAGAGTCAAGGGGAACTTATAAAGCTTGTTTTGTTTAAGCATATTTGTAAATATCTTAAAAAGAGCCACAGTGACACAATTAAAAAGGGACCTTCTCTGAAATACCCAGCGGGGGATATTTGTCCCCTTTGCACAGTTCTCACGATTTTTTACCTCCGCCTCAATTTTTTTTAATTTCTGTTTTCTTCATCTTAATTCTGATCAGGATGGGTATTCAACTACCACTCATTTTTCATTTTAAACCCCACGAATATCGGCATGATTTTAACAGGTGAAAAGATAGTAATTGCTGCAATACATATTAAACAAAGGTCATTGGTTGTTAAAGATGGTGATGATGTGAAGTAAGAGATAAATGGACCTCTGCTATGACTTTTATTTGCATGGGTATTATAGATAAATCTGCAACAATTGACCAGGTCAATAATAAGTCTGCAAAAAGGAAAAAATGAAAAAAATATAAAATAAAAGCCACCCGCCTGCCTCAATATTTCAAAAAATTCAGATAGAATCTAGGATTTTTTAAAAATTACGAAATGGTAATTTAAGGATAACTATAAATGAATTATCTCTCTTCCCTGGATATGAATTTGTTTAGATTTACATCCACTGAATATTTTTTTGTCCCCCGCTTGAAAAGTGGGGGATATTAATTTGGGTTTGTCCGTCCGTCTGTCCGTCCGTCTTTCTGTCTGTCTGTAACGCTTTCGTTTCCACACGATATCTCGAGAACCCTTTGAGCTTTTGCAATGAAATTTAGCATAGCAGCTCCCTATGGACTAAAAAAGACCCCTATTGATTTTGAGGTCAAAAGGTCAAAGGTCAAGGTCATAAATAAGCAAATTCTGTCTGTTAAAACACTTTCGTTTCCACACGATATCTCGAGAACCATTTGAGCTATTGCAATGAAATTTTATATAACAACTCCCTGTGGCCTAATGAAGACCCCTATTGATTTTGAGGTCAAAAGGTCAAAGTTCAAGGTCGTAAATTTATACATTCTGTCTGTATGTAAAACTATCATTTCCGGGCAATATTTCAAGAAGATATTGAGCTTATGCAATGTAATTTTATACCAAAACTCCTAGGACGTCTCTCGCCCCTCTCAAAGTGCCCCGCCCCGTTTGTTTTATTAGTATTTATAGTATTACATGTCGCTATTTTTAGTGCAGGGGCATGAGGAGAGTTATTGCGTATAAAACAGGTTCTCAGCGGACATTATGTTCTTATTACATCTATTAGAACTGTTTAATAAAGGCTAAATAAATCAAACACCATGGATTGTGTAAAATTTTGAGAATACCGAACATGAAAACATGAATATATACATGTATGTGACTTCAATTCTGCATATATTTCACATTGCGTAAAGCGATTCCGTGGTCTAGTGGTTATGTCTCTCGCTTCAAATGTGAGAGGTCCCGGGATCGAATCTCGGTCGATCCTTTTTTTTTTTTTAAATACTTTTTTTTTTACTAAATGATAGTATTCAGCATGTGAAATGAAAAATTTATGAGGTTATAAAATCATCATTACAGTGTGATAAACATTCCATATAAAAAATCTTCTATACACATAATAAAGAATAAGCAATCAAATCTTTATATGCATATTGACATACATGTATTTTATTTGCTTCAGTATACATGTATACATTTAATAATTCTACAAATTCAGTCAGGGGGAGCCGACTTTTTCCCTAAGCGGGTTACACGAATTCTCTGAATTAGCTTGTCTTTTATTTCTTATGAAGACCATTGCCATTAATCAGTGCATGAACAACACTAAGCAAGCCATGTGCACAGATTTCATGAACAATGGCTGTTCCATCACTTATTGCATACAATGACATATTCATCTTAATTGCAATATTTAAACAAATTTAATTTTACTTTGATTGAGTTTTAATACAGATGTAAATATAAACAATAAAATGTCTTTCTTTGTTTGTTAGTACGGGAAATCACGTCGCAGAAAAGAAACCTTACATGTGACCCGCTTACGCGGGATCTGTATTTTTTCTGCAACAGCTGCAACATCTATTTCCATGCTAACAATTGACCAAAGAAAGCATTTTATTGTTTAAATTCTTCCAATGTCTCTGTCAGAGATAAAATTACTAATAGTAAACATGGTAAAAATGCTTTATTTCTACATAAGTCTACTGGTTCATCGAATGGTGCGGTTACAAAAAATTACAGCTGGGCGGGACAAATAGAGACAGAAGCGGGACTTGTAGCTCATGAATTTGCGGAATCAAGAGCATGTAAATATAAGGAATAACTGTCAATTTTTTGGTTTCATGAAGATTATCAATCCATTATTGATTGGCTTGTGTGATAATTTTATGCATATGCAAATTATCCTGCAAGCCACTCGATTGATCATCTTGATGAAACCAAAAAAAATCTGACAGTTATTCCTTAATTCCAGCACAGAAATGCTTATATCATACCATGACGTCATAAATATATGTATGTACAATATTTTTTTAACAAAAACTAAGGCCATGATTTAAAAATTCCTACATTATGATCCTTGAAATTTTTTTTTTACTGCTAGCTGCCCTCATTTTTACAAAGAACATTAATATCCATATTTCGCACATGAATTCTTTGAGTCAAGACCTTTCTTTTGATACTACCCTATTTGACCTCTTGACATTGACTTTGGAGTTCCTTCTACTTTTGCAAAATTTTGCCAAACTTTATCCTTAGTTACAATTTAAGAATGGTTGTGGGGGGCTTTGATATTTCATATGTGTATTTCATATGTACAGACCTTTGGATGCCAACATTTTTTACCTCTTTGCACTTTACCTCTGAGTTTGACTTACTTTTGAAAAACTTTTTATCTTCGACTTAAATTTTGAGTGATTGATGCTAGGATTTTTAAGGTCAAATCATCCTTTTCTAATCTATGATAATAAAACATGACTAACTTTTCTTATAAGTTTGGCTCAATTAAAGGTGATTCAAATAGTTTTCTAGAATTCATGTTAGATTTTTTGATGCATTTGACTCTGTCATCTTCTAAAAGGATATACTGGATATCTGTTGATTCAGAGCTCCAGATAATGTTTTACCCCAAAGTGTATTTACTCCCTGATTTTCAAATCAATGCAGATTTTGATTTTCAGCAAAATGATTGAAGAGTATTTTGTTTATATATAAATGTTTTGACCTTTACTTTGATTTTGAGCTTGTAATCAAAGTATGAATTTTTGAAGAGGGAAAAAACTTCAAACGTCAGTTCCTGCATTTATTTGAATAAATTTTGTAAATACCAACAAGACTTTTTGCTAAGATTGGGAAGCATTCTTTTTTGACAAGGAAGATTATACAGTAAGTCAAGGTACACTGTGCCAAAGAGTCAGAGAAAAATCAAACACGGAGTTAACCTCAATTTGTATCATTAAGTAAGTCAAACCTGTATTCTTCAACTTGTTGTACACAGTACTTTTGTGGTGTAATGCATATCTATGATTGCTAATGCGTAATTGTACGCTCTATTTTAATTTTCAATGCGTATTTTGTCAAATTTAATTCATATTTCTGCAAATACGCACCTTATCTGCTTGTGATTTATTTG